GGTGCGGTCAGAAGAAATAAGTATTACTTACTTTTGCCTGCTTTTGTGCAGACTGCTGCAGCAATAAGTACCTAAAATAGTAAAAAATAATTTAACGATGCGATACATTTTAATTTTTTGCATGTTTCGTGTGAACTACGAACGGTGGTTGACATCTGTGGCAACTGTTGGCCACACGGCCTTGTCATAAACATCTTTTATAATTTACATATATTGTCAATAACTATAATTAATGATAAACAAACGCTTACCATTCTGCTGAATTATTCTGATACGTTATGTGCTGTACGATTAACCTAATACAATTTTTACATAAGCCAATCCTCCATCCACATTATATATACAAATATAAGATCGCAAGCAGAGGGCGCCCTATGCTGACGTGTGGCATGACGAAAGACACAAACCATGAATTAAATGATATTAAAGAATGGGCGACGTTTTGAAATATATTATTGTATGTGTACCATACGTACACGTATGAATTAATGTTAAATGCCAATGTACATATTTCAATTGTATTATTATTCTTAAATGTATAAATTAAGTAATAAATAAATTATATAGATTTACATAATTCATATAGAAAGATTTTTCAGCATTAGTAATTTGTCGTATTGTTACATTGAAATAAAATTTGAGTTTGACTTGTAGTCAACTTATCCTAAATTTTCCTAAATACGATGTATAATTTCAAAGATATAGTACATATGTATGTATAGATAAAATATACTTAAAACTATGACCTTGGTAATATATACCATTAAAAGATCATTAAAATTTTGACACTCTAAATTTAAATGTTTAAATAATTACACTAAATATTCAATAAAGATCATTTAATAAAGAATATTCAATAAAGTTTTAAAAAAATATACACTTTAATCAATATTGACTTTCTGAATTAATATCCATAAATATTGTACGTGTTAACAAAGAAAGGGACAGCATTGACAGTGGTATAGACCGTATTTGAGGGATTCCCTATTATTGATTCGAATATGTGTTCTCAATATTATTCTCTTGTAACGTAGAACTCATCAATAATATTATTTATTACATTAATAAAATATTAAAAAATTAATCAATAGCACCTATGTAACTACCAAAAGATACTCGATCTGAATTAAGCTTAATAGATTGAATTTTTTACCTTATATATTTTGAATCTGTTCTTATCGATAGTTATAAATGATGATAAAGTCGCAAAAATCTCGTGATCGAGAATTATCATACAAATTACATCAACAAGATAATTGTTTTGGATTAACAGAAAATGCAGTTTTACCAAAAGATGTAAGTTCTTTTTTTATTATTATTAACATTAGTAACATTGGTAACAGATACATATTTTATATCATGTTGGTTTTGCAAAAAATTAGAAAAATAAGGAAAATTATAAACCAAGGACATTGATCGATCAAACTTTGGAATTAATAGATCCAACACCTAATATTTACACATTGTTTGTACAATTTAACGAACGTTTTTTCTGGAATGTTTTACTTCCCGTGGAAGTTAAGTGGAGCCCTAGAATGACAAGGTATTTGAAGTTTATTCGAAGAATACTAAATGATATAAAGTTTAATGATCGTACTAAATTACTAATACTTACATTTGTGCATACAGTTGTGCTGGTATATGTACTTTTCATCCCAGAAACCGACAATGTGTAATATCACTTAGTCTACCATTATTAAAACTTAGACCGAGAAAAGATCTAGTTGAAACTTTACTGGTAAGAATTCTATAATATAATTATCTTTGGTCAACAATTAAACAAAATAACAACATATTAAAAGTAAAGTAACTATTATTAATAGTCGCTAGTTTTTATCATACGAATATATATTCTAGCATGAAATGATTCATGGGTATTTGTTCCTTACAAATAATAATCGTGATAGGGATGGACATGGTCCAGAGTTTTGTAAACATATGGATAGAATAAATAAAACAGCTGGCACAAAAATAACTGTACGTATAATAAAATTAATATGATTTTAAAATTTTAAAATTTTGAATATTTTTTAAAATGTTTGTTTTTAAAATGTTTATATAGATATATCACAGTTTTCACGATGAAGTTAGATTATATCAACAGCATTGGTGGAGATGTAATGGTCCTTGTCAAAAAAGAGCACCATATTTTGGGACAGTACGCAGAGCCATGAATCGTGCACCAGGCCCAAGTGATTTTTGGTGGAAGGAACATCAACAAACTTGCGGTGGACAATTCATTAAAATCAAAGAACCAGAGAACTTTAAAGCAAAATCAAAGATCAAAGAGAAGGTAAAACCTTCTTTTAAAAATGATAATCAACCAAATAGTATGATGAATTGGCTTACAAAAATTAGTCCATCTATCACAGAATCAAAGATTACATCTACTCCTAAAAGTATTAAATCAATTGTAAATAATCAGAATTCTTTAAATGGACTTAAAAAGCTTGGGAATAACAATAACAATGTTTATGGTTGGGGTACAGGAAAAGCAAACAATTCAATTAATTTACAAAAATATGGTAGTCCTAGTAGTACTACTAAAATTTCTACTACACCTAAATTTTCATCTTCTGGAATTGTTGGTGGTTCTAATATAGGTCGTAGTAATTTATTGGACAAATTATATAACGGTAATCATAGCCAGGCTTTAAACAAAAATACTATATCATCAAGAAAAAGAAATTCATTAACTAATGCTACAGAAACGAGGGAACCGATTGCTAAAGATAGTAAATCATTAAACGAAGTACAAATAAAACTTGTAGAATGTCCAATATGCAGTAATTTTGTGCCAAATAATGAGATAAATAAACATGTAGATTTTTGTTTAAGACCAAATAGCGATCAAATAGACAAAAGTAAAGGACAAATTAGCATAAAAAATTCTAATAATAATAATGTTGCAAAATCAGAAACAAAACGGAATTATCCTTTATTTGCTCAAAAAAGAAAAAGCGAATCAAATACAATTTCGATTAAACAGCCAAAAATAGATCAAATGGAAAATTATGAAAAAGCAAATTGTCCTATCTGTAACAAAAGTATTGATCTTACAGATATGAATGAGCATATCGATACATGCCTTCTAGAAACAGACGATAATTCTATTATTAAATTGGACAATGCAAATGATAATAACATAAATGTAAACGGAAGTACAATTATTATTGACAGCTCTTCTAGCGATGATTCGTTTAATCTTTCAGTCACTGAAAATTCGAAAAATGTTAATCAAAATACCGAAGTTAAAAAAAATAATGTATTGAATACTGTTTCACATAATTGTTTAGTTTGTAACGAATTTATTCCTTCTGGAGTGTCATTAAATGATCATTTGGAAGATTGTATTGGGAATGTTTTTAACGACGATTTATCTTTGTTGACTCATTGCGATAGTAATGAAATATCAAATACACAAGTTTCTGAGGTATCAATTAAAGAGAATAATAAATATCCTTGTCCTGTTTGCATGCAACTAGTAACAGAATTTCAAATGAATCAACATTTAGATGTATGTCTCACAAATACTCGAGTATAATAAAGTTTATAACATTCCTCTATGATTTATATTAATTAAGAAGTTAAGTTTGCAGACTACATTAAATTTTATATCTTAGGAAAATAAATCATAACAAAAAAGTAATTGCAGATTAATATATAAAAGAAATATACTTGTAAATAGTAATATTAAAATTTTGTATAATTTTCGTAATAAATGATGATTTTAATTTACGATTCGCTTTATATTTATTCCTTATATATCTTGTATAGTTATTAAAGTAATTTTTAAAATATTACCTTGAATATCGATGGATCAACGTGAATTATAAAGTAAATATTAAATCACATTGAGTAATTTTTTTATATTAAATCAATTTTTATAAATAAAAAATTTCTCACAAAAATTACAGTTTTTCATATAAATTATTAGTATCAAGAGTGTCTAATGCACATATACCACAGCTAAATTCTAACAGATACGTTGGAAAGAATAGAAGGATTTGTTCTTGCGTCCAATGCATGTATAAATAAAGATTAGGAATTATAATATCAATAATATTACTATCCAATCTTACTCTAAAACATAATATGTATTTATAATAATATATATTTCATTTATTATGTTAAAAAACTATTTGTTTTGTATAATTTTTTTAATTACCTCTTTGATCCTAGCGAATGAAACGTAAAGCTTTGTGGTAATGGAATATGTATCGTATTATTGTATAATGCTCCTCCAGTTTGATTAGGTACAATTCGTACTGTATCTATTTCATCATATATCTTGACAGTCACACCATGTAAATCATTTCGTGCTGTCAATGCATATTTTGGATTTTCACTATAACACTGACCAAGCAACAAAACTTCAGGTTTATCGTGAAAAGGATAAGTGACATTGCGAATTGATCTTATATTATCTGGTGTCACAACACACGTGCCTAAATTTGGAAGTGATTAAGACAGGTAAGGTACTGTAATCAAATAGAATGAGTTCTGCAGGTGCAAATAATAAACTATTTTTCTACAATATATTATTGTATCACGGAAGTAAAACAACTTACCAAAAAAAGCCTTGAATATCGATAGATCCATGTATTTATGAATTCTAGTTCGAGTTAAAAAGTGATCTATAATATTATAATTATATTCAATTGCTACTTTGTCATTATTAAGTGATAATTCACCAATATCTAATTCTTTTGGAAACGTTGCTGTCACAATAAATTTCTTAGAACTAGAATCTGAACTGCTGTTTCCACCAATTAGATCGTAGAAGGCTCGAAATTTCCAAGCTAAATTTATCAAGTTTTGCGGCATCTAATTACAATTATACAATTAAGATTAATACAAATCAACATCTCGAGTTATAGATTATTAGCAATATAATATTAAATTTACATTTTCATGTTGCGCAACAATTTGATATTTTCTCAAAGTCGATAATTCTCTTGAAGCTTCATAACAAGCATCGGAGAATGGAGTAAAGCGTTTTTCCTTAGACTGTTTTCGACATTCTTCATAAGGCCATTGTGATTCTTTGGCATTTTTTAATTGATCTTTACTAATTTCACCAAGTAAATCTAACGTAATTGAAGATCCACTACATTTGCCTTTTGCCGTATCAGAATATCCCCACACAACATTTAATGCAATTCTAGCAGAATCACTTGGCTTAGTACTCAAAAAATTCCATTCCCAAGGTACTTCTTTTTCTGCTTCCAGACAAAACTAAACAGTAGAAAATTTTATATTATCGTTTTATTTTTTCCTTTAATTATAATTCTATATGCAAAGTACCTTCAAAATCTTTTGACCTAGTATAATTTTAGTTGCTTTAATTTTAATCATATCAGACATCCAACTGGTAATCTCGTACAATGCAGCTACATTCCACTGCTGAAGAATTTGCGACGATTCTGTATCGAGATGCGTCAAAGACAGCACGTGATGACTTGGAGTTTTAATATATTCAAATTTTACCTAACGAAACATATTTGAAATTTATTATTTTATTCACTATTAAAATATAAAAAATCTCAACATACTAACTTGAGTACGTTGGGCATCAATCGTACTGATATATGCAGCTAAACCACAGCTACCTTTTGGTGGCACATACGTGCAGTAATCTAGGAAATGAAGAGCTGTTAAAGCAAACTCCAGAAATGGCCAGATACTAAAACAACCCAGAATAAAAATATAACAAGCGATAGCTATCATTTAATAATTTTTATAACAAAAAATATGTATATTGACATTTAACTCACGGATAGTTAGCTCGATGCGAAGAAAACACATCTCGAATTAATTTTTCTCGCGATATTACATTTTCACAGTCAAAAAGTTTTACGTATATTTGACCACCCAATTCCGATAATTCAATTTGAAATAGATCTACAGTCTATAAGAAAAAAACGATTAATATTTCAACAAATATTTAAATAGAAAATAAAATTTTTAATTATCACCTACTTTTGGTTTATACGTTGGTGATTTTGTAACTAAATATAATCGAGAACAAGTAGGACAAATTTGATGTAATTTTGTTTTAATATTTAATCCTTTTATATTAGTGGATGTTCTAGCATGAGCTGTGATACCTATTTTAAGATGTTCTAAAAAATTACAATATACAGAGTTTACAATATAATTCTTAATAAATCCTGGATTTAAATATTAATATCATACCTCCGGGAGTGTTATACGAAATGAATGGACGATCTTTAAATCCAATTGTAATATTAATTGGAAGATATCCATGAATAGAATGTGCCCTTTCTGCACTATGCCACGTGTCAATCAAAGGATTATAACTTTCTATTATTTCCGACTTATGAATAGATGTTCTAAAAATACCAATTGCATAATATAAAACATCGCTACAAAAAACGAAGTTATGAATTATTCTATTATACCGTAATATAACGTGATTATTACGACCAACTGAAATATACGTAAAATTTCCTCTCATAGAAAATAATGATGTTGCAATAACTGCGAGTCTAACATTTGCTCCTAGATCTGTAACTTGTACCGATTCCATTGTTAATGGAACATTGATACGTTGTTGATTAACGTGAAATTCCATGTTTTGATATATATGATATATATTATCAGGTAAAGAAGACAAATCTGAAAGAACATGTCAAAATATAGATATAAAAGCAACAAATGTTTAGATATATTCAAAATTTTTAGAAATAATTATTTACAACTCACATTTAAATCCTTTAATAATGTTTGTCTCATTAAAATGAAGACATAAAACTGTTTTTTCTTGAATACGTGCAATTACTTCTAAATGTACAGGTCCATTTTGCTTTTGATCTAACTTAAATTGTTTCAATATATCCTTTATTTGTGTTGGACCATCTAGATGCGTTGACAACGAATGTAGAAGACCTTCAGCTTTAACATATAACTACATATACATAATGTTTGAAATATTAAAAAATGTCACCTTATAACAATCAAATAATTTTAAATCAAATACTTACAGATACGTGATTCATATTGATTCCATTTCCATAAGTATTTACAGTTACATATAAAACTTCGGGTATGTTTGTTGAAGGATTAGCAATAACAATACCATGTATCATAGCACCAAATTTTCTATACGTATCCTGATAGTCAAACAAATAGTTACCAGTAATTAAATATGGATTTGTAGTTGGACGAAGTACTCGTGTAAATTGTGCAGCTATCGTACCTCTGTAGATCACGTAGGTCACATACAAAAATGACGTTTCATTACTATAAAAATTATATAAATTATTAAGTTATACATACATATGAATGTAACAAGGATGAGTAGTACGTTCTATAGATTTCAAAATAGTATAAAAATAATTATATAAATGTTGACTGGATTCACTTTGCATGTACCAATATAACGATATTAATCTGCTTGGTGTAGGACTAGAAACAATAAGTAGCGTCAATGCTGCTACCCTCATTTCTAAATGTTCAGTCCTATTTATTAAAATTGGAGAATAGACACGATATATCTGCGATACAAAATAAAATGAAAAATTATGAAAAATATTTAATATTTTTTTATATTTATATATTTATATATTTTTTACATTTATATTTATGAAACTACTTACGACATCAGGCCTTAAAGGAGCGGTTGAAAGTGATGCCCATGCAGCAAGAACACGAAAATGACGCGATTCCGCATTATTACCACTTGCAATAGGTTCTAAAAATTCAACTACTCTCCCCAGCTGTATATTTGCCAATCCTTCTAGCCAAATCATTTTTTTTTCATATTCCTTTGTCTCTATGAATTATATTATTACAATGGTACAATAATAAAAGCGTATATATAAAATTTGTTTAATACACATATATTTATTACATACCTGTAAATTTATCAAGATACAATCGTACGTAATCATCCAACATCTCGTATGGACAATATAACAAACAAGTCTTATAAATCAAGGTGCCATATGTAAGAATAGCGGTGTTTTGAACTTCGACAGAAACTTTTTCTGGCAAATTTAGAAACGTTTGTAAATTTATTAATAATTGAACATCAGGTTTTCGTATATGAAATGGCAACTGAGTGAGAAGTTGAATCGCGGACATATCCGAAACTTTTTTATCTTGGATTAATTCTAATATAAACAATGCAGCTTCTTTAGTACCAATTTGTGGAAGAGCTTCAAGAAACATATTTCTACAATAACATAAAAGATATAATGTTTTATAAATAACAATATAACAACATAAAAAATTATATGTTTTATAAATTATTAAAACTATAAATAATTATGAAAAATTTTAAACACCGTATTGTTTCTTCTTTATAACTTGTTCCTGAGATTTTTGTGTATGCATTGCGCAAGTCAGTAACATCTAACATTCCAAGATAATAAAGTAACACAGTTATCGTTGTATTATGTAAATTATCTGTCTCTGTATCCAAACCTGGATTTTCAAGTCTCAGACTTAATCGATCTAACAAAGTTCCTATCTACAATAAATATAATTATATATATGATATATTTTATAAAATATCATAAAATACATAATAGAATTATATATCAACTACAAACAACGAATATTTCAAAGTCAATAACTTACAGACGTAAAAACAGTACTCTTGTCAAGAGTACCTCTGCCTTGAGTGAGATCAACTTCTGGAAGTTCATGTTGCAGAATTTTGAAATATAAATTTTTAACAGATATCTTATCTACCGTGTCTTTCACCGAAATTAATTTAAAAATTTGTCTGTACACGAAGAAATTAATGTAAAAATCACAGAAAAGAATAATTTTAATAATACGAAAAGATAGTTTTATAAAATAAAATAATTTTCATTTCCTAAACATACCTTGTGAAATGAAAATGTGCTTCTCCAAAATTTTGGAAAGGTTGAACATACATGCCTCCAGAAGCATTAATAAACAAAATCTCATTTAAGAATCCATTTACTTTAGTTTTGTATAATCTTTCACTGGACTTCAATATTGGATTCTAAGTGTATATGAAATTTATCGTATATAGTAAAAAATAATAAAATACTTAACAAAATAAATAAAGATATATACAACATACTTGATCTCCATTAGGACATAACATATTAGGAACATTTGACCAGGTGTAACGAGGATGTCCAATGCAAGTTCGTGGATCAAAAAATTTTCTGACTAACCACTCATTTTCTTGTTCAGGATTGGCAACATATTCAATGTTGCATCGACCATAATGATTTTTCTATATAATAAAATATATTACTCAAAATGGAAACAAAACTAATACACTTTGAAAACCACATAAAAATTCTCATTAAACGTAATGACTTACTTCAGTCGAATGAAATGCTGTTTCCTTCTCCAAGTTAGACAGATCCAATTGTAAAATTCCTGCTATGCTTCTTTTTATATTTACAGACCACGGTGATATTGCTTCTGTAGTAAAATTTTCGACAAGACCATTTCTGTAGATAATTTGAAATGGTTTTAGAAGATCAGTCACATCTCCAGGAATATCTCGATCTTCTCCTTGTTCTTGAATTTTACCATTCCAAATAGTCATTTTTAATGATTCCAACTATTTGTAAATATTAAACATATATTATATATCATATGTATAATAAGTATTATATATATATATAATACTTCAAAAATTATTAATTTCGTTTTTACATCATCGAAGACGATATTTTAAAAGCAAGAAAAAATATAAATTTATCTTTCACATTCTGTTATTTGTCAGTTGTGAAATATACCTGCATCGTAGCAATATCTTGTTCCGCTTGAATTTTAAGTTTCCCATTAAAACCCCATGAAGATGATGCGCCAGATGGTAACAAAACACCAGAACTTGAAAGCGCATTGTAAGAATATACATATTCTTTTCCCGATTGAAATATACTATTTGCAACATGATTATTACAAAATAGAAAAAATAGAAATATAATTTCCTTTAATTTGTGCATTTGTACGTAATTAACATCTGCAAATAAACGTTTTAAATTAATGCATGCGTGAAACGACTTTATCTTTTAATTTAATTTCATAATTTTATATTACA